ACCCCCACTCCCTCTCCTCCACCCCCACTCCCTCTCCTCCACCCCACTCCCTCTCCTCCACCCCCACTCCCTCTCCTCCACCCCCACTCCCTCTCCTACACCCCCACTCCCTCTCCTCCACCCCACTCCCTCTCCTACACCCCCACTCCCTCTCCTCCACCCCCACTCCCTCTCCTCCACCCCCACTCCCTCTCCTCCACCCCCACTCCCTCTCCTACACCCCCACTCCCTCTCCTCCACCCCACTCCCTCACCTACACCCCCACTCCCTCTCCTACACCCCCACTCCCTCTCCTCCACCCCACTCCCTCTCCTACACCCCCACTCCCTCTCCTACACCCCCACTCCCTCTCCTACACCCCCACTCCCTCTCCTCCACCCCCACTCCCTCTCCTCCACCCCACTCCCTCTCCTCCACCCCCACTCCCTCTCCTCCACCCCCACTCCCTCTCCTACACCCCCACTCCCTCTCCTCCACCCCCACCCCACTCCCTCTCCTCCACCCCACTCCCTCTCCTCCACCCCCACTACCCTCTCCTACACCTCCACTCCCTCTCCTACACCCCCACTCCCTCTCCTACACCCCCACTCCCTCTCCTCCACCCCCACTCCCTCTCCTACACCCCCACTCCCTCTCCTCCACCCCCACCCCACTCCCTCTCCTCCACCCCACTCCCTCTCCTCCACCCCACTCCCTCTCCTCCACCTCCACTCCCTCTCCTACACCCCCACTCCCTCTCCTCCACCCCCACTCCCTCTCCTACACCCCCACTCCCTCTCCTCCCCCCCCACTCCCTCTCCTCCACCCCACTCCCTCTCCTACACCCCCACTCCCTCTCCTACACCCCCACTCCCTCTCCTCCACCCCCACTCCCTCTCCTACACCCCCACTCCCTCTCCTACACCCCCACTCCCTCTCCTCCACCCCCACTCCCTCTCCGCCACCCCCACTCCCTCTCCTCTACCCTCACTCCCTCTCCTCCCCTCCACCCCCACTCCTCCACCCCCACTCCCTCTCCTCCACCCCCACTCCCTCTCCTACACCCCCACTCCTCTCCTACACCCCCACTCCCTCTCCTACACCCCCACTCCCTCTCTTACACCCCCACTCCCTCTCCTCCATCCCCACTCCCTCTCCTACACCCCCACTCCTTCTCCTCCATCCCCACTCTCTCTCCTACATCCCCACTCCCTCTCCTACACCCCCCACTATCCCTCTCCTCCATCCCCACTCCCTCTCCTCCACCCCCACTCCCTCTCCTCCACCCCCACTCCCTCTCCTCCACCCCCACTCCCTCTCTCCACCCCCACTCCCTCTCCTACACCCCACTCCCTCTCCTCCACCCCCACTCCCTCTCCTCCACCCCCACTCCCTCTCCTCTACCCCACTCCCTCCCTCCCATCCACCCCACTCCATCTCCTCCACCCCCACTCCCTCTCCTCCACCCCCACTCCTCTCCTACACCCCCACTCCCTCTCCTACACCCCCACTACGCCTCTCCTCCACCTCCCACTCCCTCTCTTACACCCCCCACTTACCCTCTCCTCCACCCCCACGCCCTCTCCTACACCCCCACTCTGCCTTCTACCTCCATCCCACTCTCCCTCTCCTACATCCCCCACTCCCTCTCCTACACCCCCACTCCCTCTCCTCCATCCCCACTCCCTCTCCTCCACCCCCACTCCCTCTCCTCCACCCCCACTCCCTCTCCTCCACCCCACTCCCTCTCCTCCACCCCACTCCCTCTCCTACACCCCCACTCCCTCTCCTCCATCCCCACTCCCTCTCCTCCACCCCCACTCCCTCTCCTCCACCCCCCCTCCCTCTCCTCCACCCCACTCCCTCTCCTCCACCCCCACTCCCTCTCCTCCACCCCCACTCCCTCTCCTCCACCCCACTCCCTCTCCTCCACCCCCACTCCCTCTCCTCCACCCCCACTCCCTCTCCTACACCCCCACTCCCTCTCCTACACCCCCACTCCCTCTCCTACACCCCCACTCCCTCTCCTACACCCCCACTCCCTCTCCTCCACCCCCACTCCCTCTCCTCCACCCCACTCCCTCTCCTCCACCCCTACTCCCTCTCCTCCACCCCCACTCCCTCTCCTCCACCCCACTCCCTCTCCTCCACCCCCACTCCCTCTCCTCCACCCCCACTCCCTATCCTACACCCCCACTCCCTCTCCTCCACCCCCACTCCCTCTCCTACACCCCCACTCCCTCTCCTCCACCCCACTCCCTCTCCTCCACCCCCACTCCCTCTCCTCCACCCCACCCCCCCACTCCCTCTCCTCCACCCCCACTCCCTCTCCTCCACCCCACTCCCTCTCCTCCACCCCCACTCCCTCTCCTACACCCCACTCCCTCTCCTCCGATCCCCACTCCCTCTCCTCCACCCCCACTCCCTCTCCTCCACCCCCACTCCCTCTCCTCCACCCCACTCCCTCTCCTCCACCCCCACTCCCTCTCCTCCACCCCCACTCCTCTCCTCCACCCCACTCCCTCTCCTCCACCCCCACTCCCTCCTCCACCCCCACTCCCTCTCCTCCACCCCCACTCCTCTCCTACACCCCCACTCCTCTCTCTACACCCCCACTGCCCTCTCCTACACCCACACTCCCTCTCCTAAAACCCCCACTCCCTCTCCTCCACCCCCACTCCCTCTCCTCCACCCCACTCCCTCTCCTCCACCCCCACTCCCTCTCCTCCACCCCACTCCCTCTCCTCCACCCCACTCCCTCTCCTCCACCCCCACTCCCTCTCCTCCACCCCCACATCCCTCTCCTACACCCCCACTCCCTCTCCTCCACCCCCCACTCCCTCTCCTACACCCCCCACTACCCTCTCCTCCACCCACTCCCTCTCCTCCACCCCCACTCCCTCTCCTCCACCCCCACTCCCTCTCCTCCACCCCCACTCCCTCTCCTCCACCCCCACTCCCTCTCCTCCACCCCACTCCCTCTCCTCCACCCCCCACTCCCTCTCCTACACCCCCACTCCCTCTCCTCCATCCCCACTCCCTCTCCTCCACCCCCACTCCCTCTCCTCCACCCCCACTCCCTCTCCTCCACCCCACTCCCTCTCCTCCACCCCCACTCCCTCTCCTCCACCCCCACTCCCTCTCCTACACCCCCACTCCCTCTCCTCCACCCCCACTCCCTCTCCTACACCCCCACTCCCTCTCTTACACCCCCACTCCCTCTCCTACACCCCCACTCCCTCTCCTACACCCCCACTCCCTCTTCTCCATACCCACTCCCTCTCCTCCACCCCACTCCCTCTCCTACACCCCCACTCCCTCTCCTACACCCCCACTCCCTCTCCTCCACCCCCACTCCCTCTCCTCCACCCCCACTCCCTGACATTACCTGCAGCAGTCCCAAGTCGCCGCTCGCTGACACGGCAACCCCGCGTGGCTCTCCCTTCATCCGCCGTCTCGGCAGAGAAAACCGCAGCACACCCTGACGTGCCGGCTACCGGCGCCTCAACGCGAGTAGCATCTTTGAGACGCCTATTAACACAGTACGAAGATAAAGATGCTCCACATAGCCTTGAATAGACGAGTGGCAAGTGCTGTTGGTGAGCACCTATTAAGGTCAGCACGACTCAGGAGGGAGTTGGGTGGCCAGGACAGGACCTCGTTCGCCCGCTTTTGTCTCCCCAATGCTGATGTTTACACACTGCATCACCGACTTATTGGAGGCCGAGTCGACCTAGGGGAGGTCCAGGACTGCTTCAGATATTCCTCACCAACGTTGACTTGAGCGTGGTAATCAAACTCAGGCCGCCGAGTTTGTAGCGCAGTGCGCTAACCACCGCGCCTCCGTTCCCCGTGCGCAGAAAGATCCCCCCCTCCCGCATAGGCCTTAACGGAATGTTGCGGCAAGTGCTGTAAGCGAGCACCTATGAAGGCTGGCACGGTACACGAGGGGGTGGGTGGCAAGCAACACGCCTGCCCAACTTCGCCTCCCCAGTGGCGATGTATGCACACAGACGCACACGCGCGCGCACACAGACACACGCTTTAACGAGGCAGCCGAATCGCGCTGCTGTGGCCCTAACAAGTTGGAGGGAATCATGCCTGAGTAAGGAGCACATTAATGCACAACTCCCCTGGGGGGTGGGTGGGTGGGCGGCGGCGGTGGTGGCAGGAGGAAACAAAAATGACAAGTTTCCACTCAACGGTGCATTGAGCACACAAAAGCCTGGTCGGGTTCACCCCCCGCCCATCGGCGCAACGGCTGTGTCAGCTTGGCGTGGCGTCGTGCGCAGCGAACAAACGCACGTTGGGGAAAAATCAGGAGAGGGCGGCCGATAATTCCTGTGGCAGAGTAGGTGGGGTTCTCAGAGGTGCATGCGGGTATGTGAATGCGTGGGTGTGTTTTGTGTGGTGTGCGTGGCTGGGTGAGTGAGCGTGGCTGTGTGTAGGTGGGGAGCGGTGGTGTAGCGGTTAGCGCTACGCTGCACTACGAACCTGGCAACACAAGTTCGATTCCCGCTCACGGCCAACACCGGTGACGATTATCTGAACCAGTCCTGGGCCTCCCCCTAGGTCGACTCAGCCTCAAATTAGTACCTGGTGTGATGTGTAAACTGGGGAGATAAAGGCGGCGGGGCGTGGCGTTGGCCACCCACCACCTCGTGTGCCGTGCCAGCCTTTATAGGTGCTCACTCACAGAGCTTGCCACTACAGTCTGCTGAGGCTACAGCGCGCTGCCCGCTACGAACCCGGCCACCGGGTTTGGAGAATTAAAGATACCAGGGGAGTCTCATTTTAATGGGTGACCTGGCTCACCAAAAAGACAAAAACAAATAAAATAAAGAACTGTACAGCAATGGAGCAAATAGAAACGAGAGCAAAGACCACTGTGTCTCATCACAAACACAAAAATGTCGCAGAAACATTAGTCGCTGTGACGCTCCCCACCTGCTCTCCCATGGGCTTCCACCCCAGCCCCCCATCGACCCCCCCCCCCCACCAGCGGCAACGCGCACTCTCACCCTGCTCACATCGTGCTCCTTGTCCCTCTCCGCCTTCACCGTCGCCCCGTGCCTGGCCCGGACCCGCGCCGGCTCCGATGCGGCTTCCGTCTCAGAAGCGGCGTCCGTGTCCATCTCCAGCTCAGCCTCCTCGGCCTTCGCCCTGGCGATCAGCTGGGACAGCGGCGGCAGCGGCGGCGGCGGCGGCGGCGGAAGAGGGAGGCCGAGAGGGAGGGGAAGGCGAGCGGCGCCGCAGCGAGCCCTGCGCTGCTCGCTCAGGTTGAGCGGGAGGTCGAGACCGGGCTCGGGGAGGGCGGCGAGGGTCCCCTCGGCCTCGCGGGGGGCCGGCTCCAAGTCGGGGCCGGCCTCGTAGGGCCGCCCGTTGGCGGCGGCGGTGGCAGCGGCCGGTTGCGGAGCGTCGGGCCCGCACGCCTCCCCGGAGAGGTCCGACGAGAGCGAGTGATCTGTGACGACGAAGACGACGACGACGACGACGACGGTCAAAATATTCGTAGAGAAATCGTGACGCGCACGGTTTTCCCTTGGAGAGACAGAGATTGAGAGGTGCGCGAAAACCACAGACAAGCCCGAAGGCAGCCGACAATTGCCAAAGATCCGTGGTCCTACAATGGCCAATGACGATGACAGCGAGAGCTCCGTCAACATCAAGGATAACAACAACAACAACATGAGGCGCCGTGCCATTATAGAATTCGCGTAAACAGCGTCAACGATGACGAACATAAAACCGTCAGCGTCAACAGCAATCGCATCGGGCCAAGTAAAGCTGGTCTGTGTTCTCGATTAAATGGGCTTGGGGTAGCACTCGTGTCTATTGGGCGAATGGAAATTCCACTTTCCTATGACAGGTGTTGGTCTTTACAAATGGGGGCACCAAAGTGGACGTCGCACAAGTAGGAGGGACGATGGGTTCACGTCAACTTCAGCACAAGAACGAGCACCGATTGATTCCCACACCGTTGAGTCAACGTCGTCTCTCACAACATCCCATCGCCCATTGCCATCGTTGTCAGCAGCTCGTCGGCAGCACCGTGATCTCCGTCGTGAATTTAAAAAAAAACGCTCGCGGCCTTTTCAATAACAGCATCAACGTCGTCTCGCGGCAGTCCAAATCGAATCCCCCCCCGAGATGCCGCCGTGGAAATTGAACAAACTGGCGACCCGTCGCGATAGAGGGGAGACATCGGGGGCGGCGGCGGCGGCGGCGGCGGCGGCGGTGGCGGCGTTCGTTCGTCACAATCAGCTCGAGAGTTGCAAAAACTTTTCCGCTTGAGCACATCGACGTCCCGAAACGACTTCGAAAATCCTGAGACGCATCGTCGCGTCGTCCTCGCGTTGCCCCCGGGGAGGGGTGTGCGGGGGAGGAGGCGTAGCGTTGTTGTCTCCCGAGCCCCTGCCGGCCTCGCCGAGCGCCCCGCGGCCGTGCGGGCTGGTGGCGACCGGTCACCACAGCGGTCAGCGCTCGGGACATTCCTCACCGATATATTTCCGAATGGGAGGAAGAAGGGCTCCCGTGAGGCGCAGCGAGCGGGGGAGAGTTGCCAACGCTCCCGACCAGACGATTGCCGAATTAATTTGCATCATTGTTGGGGTTCCAAAGTCGTCACGTCGCTTTCACTTTGTCGAAAAACTCCAAAGGGAAAGTGACCGCCGACGGAGACACTGTCTCCCGGATGCCGGAGCTCGCAGTTTACGCCGAGGGAGAGAGGCAGGGAGCGAGGGAGGCGTCACAGAAGAAGGGAGGGAAGAAGAAGTGAGGAGGAGGAGGGAAGGGAAGGGAAGCGAGCGAGCAATGGACAAGATAAATGGAGGCTTTTGGAGCAAGTGTTGGTGCCTCCCGGGCCGCTTCATGATGCTTTCTACCAGCGCGGGGCCAAGTGAAGGCCCACAATGGTGCCCACCACGGGACCCAGTACGGGGCCCATCGTAGGCCCACCCCCCAAACCCTCCCGCCCCCCCCCACTGCGGCAAAACTTTCATCCAGCAGCGGATGTCCGTTATAACGATTCTATAAATACAAATCGTATATTGCATCGTACGGTGTCGTGACGCTGTGAAAGGGAGCCGCAGAGGCGGGCGGCTGATGAGCCGTGGGAAAGTTGGCGGAGGTGAGAGCAGGAATTTCAAGTCGTGTGTGGGTTGCCTACCCCCCCCCCCCAATCAAGCACGCTTATCTGCACTCCCATCAAAGCACCGTCGGTATACATTAGCATCTAGCGACCGCACTATCAGTCTGCTGGCAACAAACAAAAAAATGATCGCGATTCAACGCTTATCGTCGAGCATTAAAGCAAATCTGCTGCAGGATTTCACGTGGGATTATGCGAGTCTCTCTGCATAGCTGATTTATTCTCCCATCGCCTGCCTCGGCAGCTCGTAGTGAAATAATAAAGGGGTAGGGGGGGGGATATACACTGTACGCACGAGGAGTCCGCACATTATCCCACCGCCATCTATTATTTACTCCCGTTTATTTGGTGGGGGGGGGGGAGAAAAACTTGATCGAACTGCGTGCACATCGTCAGAGGCGAGAGAAATAGATTTGCCTCTGCGTCTGCTCGGGAATTTGCTGGCGTGAGATCGCGCCGGCTCGGGGCGCGCTCCCCTCTTGCTCCATTGTTTTACGAGCGGAGGAGGCATCGCGGTTGGCACGCTGGGGGGCACTGCGAGCTCAGAACTACCAAAGATAAAAACAACGCTCCGTTTGCAACCTTTCCAGGATATTTCACAATTTGCTCAAAGTGCCGCGGTGCAAGGTGCAATCCCTCACCGTAAAGTCGATCTCTCTCTCTCTGCCCCTCTCTCTCTCTCTGCTCTGAAGAATGGACATTGGGCCGAAATGCCAGCCGACTGTATATGCTTTGTCATTAGGCTTTGCTCATTCGCCGGCCCCCACTGACCACTGGTGAAGTATGGCCAAACAATCCACATGGCCGACACGGCGTGAGTAAGGAGCCCTTCATTTAGCAGCGGATTCACGAAGGGGGTGTACGTTAATTATTATTTAAAACGCATTTGCCACTCGGCGGATATTTGCCCTGACTCTTGTTTCTGGTGGCCTTGCGGGCTCGAGTCCCCGATCCCGAGCCTCACCAGGCCGAGGATAAAATCCCAGAAACCCGCGAACTCGGCAGGGGTCAACCTCTCCGTCGCCGTGGCACCCGGAGACTCATTTGGGCGGGCGAGCTGTCTCGGAGCACGCTCGCTCAGGAAGCCAAGCGCGGGAAATCGAAGATGGCTCGACGATGCAATAATTCATCTCACTCGGCTCACAAGCCTCGAGTCAGGGCCAGCTGGAGGAGGAGGTGGTAGCCGCTGCGACTCATTAGGAACGGTGAAGGGGCCGAGTGCATCTCCAAGCTGCTTGAGTCTCTCTGGATTTCCGCCCCCAAGCCTGGCATGCCCCCCCCCCAACCTACCCCACTACCCCCCCCATCCCCCATCCCAACACACAGGCAGGCTGCCGCGTCGATATAAGCTGATACATCCCTTCCACGGTTGTTAATTATCTACAGACACACAGCCCTGACGACAGAAATAACCCACGGCCGCCCATTCCTCCACAGCGCGCGAGAAGGCTCCGCCGATCAGCGACAGTCGGAGGTTAATGAACGACTCCCGGCGCTCGTCAAACCACCGTGACTGCGGAGTGGTGAAGTATGGTCAAAGAAGGCTCCCTGCCCCGGTGGCTGACGCGCCGTTGGGATAGCCTCCGTCCAGCCGCGGACCGACAAAGGAGCTGTAAATATTATAATCAATATTAGTTCGATCTTGGGGGTGGAGGAGGGGGGTGGGGGTCAGGTGACTCGGCCAATCATCATCCCTCCCTCCGGCGTTGACAAAAATGAGCACCACTTTGTTGGGAAGTCGACAGTGGCCGTGCTAAGGATAGACTCGCCCTCGCCAAAGTAATGTGGAATTTCCACCGCTGCCTCGTGGCTGCAAATGGGCGACAGGCACCGCCTCAATGCTCATCTGAGCAGCGAATCCGCCTTGCACCTTTCAACATGGAGCCAACATTCCGTGCTGACCGCAGAGTCGCCATCTCAACGGCGTCGTTGCCCGCGCCGGCGAACGTGCAGTGGAGGCTGCACATTTGGGCCCACGATGGCACCAGGACCCTCGAACTCGTCGCGGAATCAACACTGACGTTAGCGGTGCAACTGCAGACAGATTCCCCCCCCCCCTCCTCTCTCACTGTACCGACATCCAAACGACGCAACGGAGGGGGGGAATTTAATTTACGACTGGAAATATGCGAGCTAATCGGCGCACCGCATTCTCGCCCGCTTGCCTTTTGCTGATCTGGAAGGCAAAGCTGATGCTTTCACGGGAAATGCCTTCCTCTGCCTCCCACAAAAGAATATGTATCTCCTGCCACTCATCCAGAAAGTGTTAATGCTCCTCGGCAGGGAAAAAAAAAGTGGGCTCGTATTAATGGAGGCTTAAATAGACTAGAGAGAGAGAGAGAGCGCGAGAGAGATGTAGAACGTCGCTGCCGAGAGCCACAGACAGCAGCAGGAATTTCACTAGAGAGCGAAACTGGGCACCGGAAAGGAAGGAGATCCATACCTTCCAAGTTAACGCAGGATCCGCATGAGCTTCTTCACGCCAGAGGTCAAGCACATATGCGCAGGAGGGAGCCCGACGATTGGGAATGCACAATTATCACTTTTCATCATCGCAGTTGCTCCCCCTACCCCGCTCGCCACGAAAAAAACGCAGACCGTGCTTCCTTTTATCCCTCGACTCGTACAACGTGGTGCTTCCGCAGATTTCTAGCGACTCATACTCACGGTGCCGTGACCTCTTCGGTCGCTTCAATGGGTGGCTCCTTTCGAATTTTTCGGAGAGAGAGAGAGAGAGCGACCGAGAAAAAATAAAAAGCCACAAACCACTACCGCACACGCCCGACGCACGCTGCATACAATTTTAAGGACGGCGCTCCCTGCAATTATCCGCGCTGCATCTGCGAGCCTCCGCACACTTCACTCGACGAGAAGCGACGTCTGACCGTGATGGACACTCTCTGCTTAGCCCCTGCCTCATATATTTCTCACGTCGGTGCACAGGCAGGCATTGCCGGGCCTCCAGGGTAGGGTTTGTGACGAAGTGAAATGTCAGTCACCCACTACCGCCTCCCCCGCTCCTCCTCCAGCAACACTTTCCACCCTCCCCCCGGACTCCCACCCTCCCTCCGAGAGCCCTCCAACTAGCCTCGTGGTGCACTCCCCCTCCCTCCCTCCCTCGCTCCCTCTCTGCCTCCTCTCCGTACTCTGCCCCCCCCCCACGCCCCGCCTCGCTCGCCGGCGTGCCATGCAAATGGGGGGGGCAGGGTTTGACTGGGGCTTGGGGGGGGGGGATTAAAGTGGCGGAGGGGTTGAGAGATTGTTGAGGAGTTAAGAGTCATTATCACTAAGTTTCAGCCGCAGGGCTGGGAAGC